AAAAATTGTTCAAAAGAATAAACACTACGAAAATTTCTAACGTACGAAAAGTCTATATCTCAAAAAAAAAAAAAAGAGCTCCTTGCAAATCGGCCTTTGACTCGATAGACCGAAAAGCATTGTTTCTAAAACCCCTTAACTTGTGGGGAGGGTTCTCTTCGAAATTCATTAATACCTGGATGAGCTTGTGCCGAGAATCATCTTCAGCAGTAAGAGACAAACAAGGCATTTCAGAATTTTTTGAGGTCAGACCGAGTGTCCGTCAAGGTTGTATGCTCAGTCCGTTATTGTTCTCTCTCTTAACGACCTGCCCACAGCTCTTGATCAGAGTAGCTGGTACAGTATATGGTAATAAATGGCTGAAGACCGAGTTTTCCTTCAGAACCTCACTTTCCTAGAGCGCTACTGTGATCAATAGAACATCACAGTCAATTTAAAAAGTCCATGATTATGATTTTAGAAAAGGAGGCCGTCTGGAAATGATTGGTGGCCCATAGAAGTGTTAACCAATACAAATAGCTGCGTATAACCCTCACCCCGTGCTTGGCCATGACTTCTCATTTAACAGAAAGAATAGCAATAGCTAAATTTGGTGTTATCGCTTCTGGAACGACTTTATTAATAACAGAAATGTTCTTCCTTCCGCCAAATATAAAATCCCTTTAAAGCTGTTCCGCGATCAATTGCCTGCTCTAGTGCTCAATGGTGGGGATTTAAACGGTGAGCTGGTGGAAAGATATTTTTTTTTTTTTAATTATCAAGTTGTTTTGACTACCTTCCCAAGACACCCAATTACAGGTTACCGATTCCGACTTCGACTTCGACTTCTCTAGTTAAAGTTTTCATCTTCGCCCTCCATGTTAGATACAGCATTAACATTTTAAATTTGGCTGCTCTCCTCCTTTCTGGTATTATATTTTTGGAAGTTATACAAACAAAAACAGTTTGGTTCACGCACTGGATTGATTTGGCAATTTCAATTCCAACTTAGAAGATAGGGACAAGCGGAGCGCTCAGTTGATGGTCATCCATCAGAAGGTAAACTAATTTTATCGGGAGGATGTGTGAGGTCGACTTGACGATAACCGTTGTTTTTACTTCACAAGGATTCATCCCCAATCTACCTTTTGGAAAGAAAAAATAAATTTGGTTGCTCTACTTTAACCACACTCCTTGGCGAGAAAGAGAGGTTTCAATCTGTACTTTGTGTAACCTCGGGTAGAGGGAGAGTGCCGTCAATGTCTTGGCTGTGTCCCATCCTCACTGAATTTAGACATCACCATACTTGTCACAAGAAGCTCAGCAGAGCCCAGCTAATTGAATTTCCGAATGGAATGAATTGCATACAGCTGATCAGATATGCGCGGCAAACTTGTTCTTATCGTTTTAAACTAATTAAGGAATTCAATTATGATTAATATGTTTTTGTCTTGTTTTAATTTAACTTTTTTATTCATGTATTCTTAATTGTTTTCTACCTTTTAGTTTTTAATTGCACACTTCATTCTTATATTTTTGTTGGTGATGTTATAGCAGATAGATAGTTACATAGGTACATAGCATAGATGTTAGCAGCAGGATTTATTTATGACCAAGTGCTATTAAATTTGTACACATAAATTATTCTGTATGTAAAAACGTTTTTTTATCCGAGCTATTGTTTCGAAAAATATTTTTTAAGCTGTACAGTTGCTATTAGGGCTTATCTGAACAGTCAAAATATCGACTTGTTGTCCTCCAGGTTAAGGCCTGTTATTATATTGTTTATCGTTGAATAAATCGAGACCGTCAAATATTACGAGTTTTCCTTATGTTAATCAATTTTTTAACGTTCATTGAACCAACCTTTTGCGTCGTGGCGAAGCTAAAAATCGAAAAAATTATTTTTTCACGGTTATTTGATTGAAACTTGATTTTTCAGATTTGAAATGTCATTACTGTCAAAATATCGTCGTGGCATATTATTATTATTTTTATCATTCTGTATTTCAAGTCAGATCTTTACGAGCTTTTTGTTATGTATATCAATTATTAACATAACCGTGTAATCTCTTATTTTTATCCATGCGTGCTTTTATTTTATTTCTTTTTTTCCCGATATATCGTGATTTATTCAAACGTAATTAAAACTATCCAATCGATTCGTGAGAGGAAATTTTGATAAAAATCGGCTGGTAAACGCGAATGAAATTTACAAAGATTATACGGTAGACGAAATGGCTTTTTGCTTTCAATTTTAGCCTGTGGTTAGTTAAAATGCTAGACTTTATGTTTTCAAACGGCGCAAAAGCGATAAAACCGGCCATTCATAAATGCGAATGGTGTTTTGTGATTGATAAGCCTATCAGGAATGTTTTTTTAATAAATAATCCAGGGTAGATTGCCTTAGGAAAAAATTTGTATTTATTCTTAAAAAAAATTTTTTTTTTAATTATTTCACGTTTGACAAATTCTTTGCCTATTTAACAATATTCCATGGGCAGAGACTATAACATATTCCACAATTTTCTTGAACGCCAATAATCTAGCTTTTACCTACTTTACTTATGAGGACCAATTTATATCAAGCAAGTTTTCAGCTTAACGTCTCACGGTATGAAATATTCTAAAGGTTCAGATTTTTACTTTAAAACTACAAACTTGGTAAACGCATGATGTATGTCTTTTCAAAAATGATCTAAGGCAAAAAATTCATTTTTTTTATGGCTCATTAAAAGCCAGTTTTTCCATTAAAATATTTATTATTTAGAAACATTAAATTATTTTTGTTAGAAAAAATTAACAAATATTGTTCCATTATAAATTATAAACTTATATCAACTGCTTAATCGAAGGTGACTTAAGAAAAAAGAAAAGGGGCAAAAGAGGTCTGAAAAAGAAAATCGTGATAAGAGCTCATATAGCCGTTGGGGGGGGGGTCCTTTTGATAAGGTCATACGGCCAAGCTGAATATTTAGCTACTAATACGGATTAGAGCCGTTTCTCTCCCGGTTTTGATAAACCCCCGACATTCTGAATACGGAATTAAGCCCCGGAGCCCATTTCCATAAAAGAGGAGTGATGCCGGGGTTTGAATAAAAAGAAAAGGGCCGACTGTGACCCTATGATTTCGGAAACGGAGCCCTGCATTTTCCCCGAGCCGACCATCGCGTGCCATAGCTGAAGACCGCTACTTGACTTTAATTATTGATGTAAATATATCCTTCAATACGAGCCCCCCTTTCACAACAGAAATATTGAAATACTCTGTATAATTAGAAAATAACGAGGTTGTATATAGGTAGAGCTTTAAGAACTTCGAACCTAGGCTTCATCACCAGTTTTTGTCCAAAATGAAAATTGCCTAAAGTCCTGTGTTTATGTTTTAAAGGTTCAGTACAGCAAATTTTTTAAATCCTATGATATCATGATAACAACCTTCGTGCTTCAAAAAATTAAAATATCACACAGTTGATTCCCCCATCCGAACACATAATGGGTCCGTCCAGCTTCTTCAGCGTAAGCTCCCATGTTCGGCCCAGATGCCTAAATTTTATATTTTTCATAAATAGCACTTCTCAAGCATGATAAACATATTTTTCTAAATCACTTCAACTAGCAAAGCAAATTTAAAACAAATGTACCAAATATTTTATTTTATGTCTTTGAATATCGTGGCAAAATTGGTTGAAATGTATTGAAAAATGCACTACCCGAAGCCTAAATTTTCATGTTTAAAAAAACACTTCTCCTGTATATTAAGCATTTCTTCTGAATATACCATCAACTAGCAAACCAAATTTGAAACAATTCTACAAATAGTTTGTCATTCGTTCATTAATATCCTGACAAAATTGGTTGAAACGTGTTAAAAAAATACACAAACCAGAGGCCTAAATGTTCATGTTTAAAAAACACTCTCAAAATACTAAATATTTTTCCCAATTTTTCATCAATTATCGAACCAAATTTTAAAAAATTCTACGAAATGATTTAATATATGCCTTTCAACAATGGGTTAAAATGTGCAGAAATTATTATTCCTATATCATTCATGATAACAACCTTTGGTGCTACCAAAAATTAAAATATCACACAATTGATTTCTCTATCCGAACACATAATGGGTCCCGGGCCAGGTCCAGCTTCTTCAACTTAAGCCCCCGTGTTCTGTGAGGCTGTGTTCCCGAACAGTTCCGCTACGTATAGTTCAAATATTCTCGAGTCCCATCTGATTAGTGTTGAACTAGGGGCTAAATTAGATTAACATCTAAATCTAGCGAGATTAAGCTGACTCAAACACTACTAGAACTTGATGCTGGGTGTTGGTCAGCAAGTCGGTGAGCTGCACCGGCACTGGGTCACTTACAGGGCAATTTTTCCCTCGAGGGTTTATAGGACTTCTCGGCATTGCACCATCTTCAGTGAGGAACATCTGATCCAGTGCCGGTTCAACTGCGCGATTCCGTTTTGACAATTCTTACTGAAGGCGCAATGCCGTAGCGGTACAAAATTTGGTCGTGTGGTTGCCTCGAGAGTTATTCATCATCTATTAATGATGATCCAAGATTAGTATTAAACAATAGACAATGAATCCATACAATAAAAGTATTTCTGTAACAATCTAGTATACTTATTGATGGCGGTGTAGTTAATTCATCAAAATCTAGCGAGATTAAGCGGACCCAAACACAATTAGAACCCTTCATAATGTACGAAATTAAAAAGCAAGGATCCTTCAGAGATAAAAATCTGACATTCGATGTTAAAACTAATCTAATTACGCCAATGAAGGCGGTTAATGAAGACTTAAAAGCCATGACAAACGATGGCTTCAAAAGGATAATAGAGTAGGGCTAAGTATCGGCCTAAAGTGGTTACTGTTTACCCGTGACACGGTGTAAAAAAAGGAGGGGAATTTTCGAAAGTCATCCTTCCCTCGCACCCCCAATATTTCAATTTAACGCAACACGTTTTACCTGTTACATGACGTTTTATCTATTTTTCTGTTTCTTTTCCAGTGACGATGCACAAAGAGAAGGAAGAGTCTCAATACAGGAGCAGGGGTGATCTCTCAGTCTACGACCACTCCATGCTAGACGGCGACATGTTTCTCCAGGTTGGACGACTTTTATATTTCATTTAATTAGACCATTCGACTTTAACAACCTCGCTAAACGACTCTCGTGCCTCGCGCTCTTGTTTCCCTGCTTAATGGCCACGAGATCGCAAATTAGAGGCCACTGAGTTTCTTTTTTCTCTTTTTTTTTCTATTTGTTTATCTAGTCAAATCGCTGGAAAGCAGAAAAACGTAATTAATAATAGTATAATTGTTTTAATTCGAAGCCGTTTCGTGATAATGCCCATAGGAAGTCGTAAAACGTAATAGGGTGCTTCAAAACCCGTTTCACCTTCCACAACCCCAGCGGACGTCAAAATGCGTGCCGTATAAGCCGCATAATAAAAAAAGCCCCAAATTAAACAATCTAGATATAAAGAGAATGGGCCTGGGCGGACACACCAAGGAAAGCTATGAAAACTGAAGACCGTGTAATTCTGTGGGATTGAAAAAAATTATGTCTTTAAAAAAATAATTTCCCTTTTCAAAATCAAATAAAGGGAAAAATTAATATTCTCAATTAAACTTATTCAAAAGTAAAGTTGGCTACAATTAGTAGTCGTAGAGGCAAAACAAATACTTATGTATGTTTGTTATGTTGTTATATCTTTAACGATAGAATATGGAAAGAACAAAAGTTTTTCCCGAATTTAGACCTCTAAAACCAACATAAACCATGAAAAATATATAGCAGATAAAAATTATTCTAAAAGTATATATAAATTTCGCATTATATCATGCAAGAAAAATAACAGAAATTGAAATAATATAAATAAAATATTAAGAAACAAAACAAAATATATAACTCAGATTCTATTTCTCAATATTAGAGTACAAATTAGAATTATATTTTGTTCTCTAATTTCGTGGTCCGCTTGACCAATTAATATATTACAATTAATTAAGGTTTTTAGTTGGGATAAAAAAGTCAATGGCACGAGCGGGATTCGAATTTTTATCTCAACTAAAAACCTTAATTAATTGTAATATATTAATTGGTCAAGCGGACCACGAAATTAGAGTACAAAATATAATTCTAATTTGTACTCTAATATTGAGAAATAGAATCTGAGTTACATAATCCTAATTTATATAAATAAAATTCTTCATTTTTCATGATTCTACATGAAATTATTATAGATGTCTACGAGGGGAGAACAAACTAGCATCTACTACAACATTTTTTTTTTAATAAGAAGATCAGACAACATAATAAACAAAGAATAGATTATAAACATTATAACAACTATTATATTTATTAAATTATATAAAATGAAAAAGGAAGTACAAATACATTCCTCTGTTACAAAGTTAAGATAATTTAAAGCCTCTTTTATAAAAATAATACGCAGGCCCCAATTAGTACAGGCATATATAATATTAATCAGGAAATACAAACGAAAAACTGCAAGAATATGTGGACAAGCGTAAAATATTAATTTGAAATCACAGAACGTTATAATTTTCATTAATAAAGAAAAGCATTATCATGCAGACCCTACGTTGCTCACAAAAACGTACGAAATAAATTTACAAATAAACCAAAACTGATCAACCAACTCAACTCTCATGATCCAATATATGATGTAAAGAAGGCAATTCTCAGTTTTTCGTAGTAAATACTGGGGGGGGGTTCGTCGGAGATACCTACGGAGCCCTCTCCTATTCTCTCTATATATAGGGCGATCAGGTCGTCGTGTTAAAAAAAATTGGTTACAGTACATCTAAAGTGGTAAAGAATGCCGTAAAGCTCATGGTTTTATCTCAATCCGTACAAAGGTTACGATTTTTTTGTTTAAGAAAAACTCATTTCTTTACCTAAAACCGGAATTTTCTCCTCTTTAATGTAACTTTCCCAACTTTTGACTCCATTTTTAGATTTAGTACCGAATCAACTCTTGGGCCAAGCATTTAATTCCCACGATTCGTCTCGGACCAAGTTTTCCCAACTTCCAACTGCAACTGCCATCAAAAAATCAAAATAATCGAGGTTTCGAATAGACCGTTGTTAAGGTTATAAAATGTTGAAGTTTTTAGATAGTTTGACATTTCTAAAAATGTAACGTAAAGGAGTAAATGTAAGTCCGGTTTAAAGAAGTCAAACTTACCATTTCATTATGTTTGTGCGGTTATTTTGTATGTAGACTGACAATTTTTAGAACAAAAATGTACTATTCTAAAAGGAAATTTTAAAACACGTGCTTTAAACCGGGGTCAAAGTCGGTAAAAGTTACGGTAGGAGAAAATTCCGGTTGTTCTTAAACAAAAATACAAAAAAATTCGTTACTTTTGAACGGATTGAGATAAAACCATGAGCTTTACGGCATTCTTTGCCATTTTAGATGTACTGTCATCAATTTTTTTCTCAACACGACGAGCTGACCACGCTGTATAAATGATAAATTGTTAAGGGTGTCATTCTGGCGGAATCAACCTGTTCATTTTCAGCTAAACATCTCAAAATTAGAAGCTTATTGTAATATCTGAAGCTTAAAAGTCAATCTAGACAAGTCTGAAAATTGATAAATTGACCTTTACTGCCTTCTTTAAAGAATTTAATTCCTTCAATTGGCAAACTGAAAATTCTCAATGCCATCTCTAGATCAGTAATGTGCAATCGTTCGTATCTAGAGTTTCATATCATGGTCTAAATTAGGCATATTATTTTTGGATTTTCATACACCGTACATCATGCACATACATGCTCCACATCTTGATACTACACTTGGTATTTGTGTATACCCTTTCGAAGAGTCGTGTACTTAAATTGCTAATAATATTTTTTCTAGAAATATTTTTTTAAATATGTGTGTTAAATATACTCAGCGTTAGTTAATAAAAGATATTTTTGTAAAAATTAATTCCGATTGGTTTTAAATACCTATAAAAAACAGGATTTCCATCGCAATCAAAAAATATAAATTTTTTGGCTTTTAGTGTTTTTTCTCGTCGATTTCCCCTGAAAAATTCATAAATCTTCTGGATTTTAAGCAAATTAAACGGTGTTATCCTTGGAAAACGGGCTTCTCTTCTGTTAGCTAATGTTTAGATGAAATCAAATCAAAAATGAAATCAAGAAAAACTCCTGAAATGTTTCTTTTTTTTTACTCCGGTTCTAATTTTTAGGTCACATTTGTTATGTATAGTTTGGAGGGTTCTAAATTCCTATAAGGCCTAGATAAATCGATGTAGCCGATCAAAATTTAACACCAATTTTGTGATTTGCGGAAAAAGAAATTGGAGGCATTTTTGTGATGAATTGAATGGCAAAAATTGGAAAGAAAAATATATTTTTTGATTGTTTGATTTTTTTATTGTTAACTTTGTTTTTTGTATTTGGCAGCCGGCCGTTGCATACATGAACTATACAATACATGATATACCAAACTAAGCTAAACTATTTTTTTTAGTAAGAAAAATGCAATAAAGGTTTGAGAAGATTTTGTTTAATTCTTATTTTCTCAATTTTAATGGTATCAAATTTAAATATAATTGACACAGCCTGAAAAAAATAAATACCCTGCTGTACAGCTTGTTTATTGTTTATTTTCGGGAGTTGTTAAAAATTACAAAATAATTGGGGAAAGAATTTAAATTTGACAATAGGGAATCTTAGGCTGTAAGTCAGTACTACGTGGTCAGATTCTTCTCAAGAATAAACAAATATTTGCAAATAAAAACCAGTTGCCCACAGGGAAATATTGACTAAACAGTAAAGGCGTGAGAAAAATAGGGTGAAGGCCTCCGTTTGTTCCGTAGGAGAAGCAATGCGGCATTAATGGAGGGCCATGCGATCCGACAATGATTATAAATTTTGACCCCAAGCCTCCTGTCATCGTATCGCGCCCCACCGTCGGGCTTGTACAGATGGATATTGATTGCAGATTTTAATTAGAGGTAAACGCCTCGGGAAAACGTTCAAAACATTTAGACGAAAAACGCGGCCAGAATGTTTCATCGTTCTACAAAACGACTCGTGACATGGACAATATTGAGTATTCACGCTACAGTTGATTGTTCGACCATGTGTTACGTTAAGTCTGCAGTCGTGTTGTAAAGATAAGTAACAAGATTATCTGTATTGTATTGGATTCGATCCTACTTTGATCTCACTTAAACCGCTCAAAAATGAATATTGATATTTGTAATTTATTCTTATTCTATTAATTTTAATGAAATTAACCGATATATCGGTTGGAAGTGGATATCGCAGAGGCCGTTGGCGTTTCCCTGCGCATGGTCTCCCGGGCTTTAGCCCGATTCTAAGAGACTCGACGTGCCAGTAGGTAGTGGATCTCAGCGCATTACGGCGCTAAGGAAGGAAAGAAATATTGTCATTGCTGCAAGACAGAACCTTTCCATAGTGCCCCCAAGATCCTAAATGAAGTACAAGATGTTTTGGTACCGCCTTTATCAACACAAATGATTCGAATTCGTTTGTGGGAAGTTGGCCTCACATTGTTTCGGCCCCTTTGATAAGTCGTGCAGCAACCGCCCGCCACCAGAAACTCAACAGAATATGGTGCAGGGAGCGCCTAGAAGAGAACACCAATTGGAATGCTGTTATATTTACTGATGAGTCTCGATTCTGTCTAGTGATAGCAAGCGCCAAAGAGACTACCAAGAACAGGAGGTGCATACATTGCCCCAGTTCGTGCTCCCTTCAGTGCAGTTTGGAGGAACGAACTGGACTCCATACTGATGAAGGCAACCTCAACGCAGTCCGTTATGTCCAAGAAATTATCGAGGGATACATCTCTCAAATCTGGGATCTCATTGGCAAGGATTTTCGATTTCTGGATGACAGCCAGACCTCATAGGACAGAGTTTTTCATCAATGGGAATTCAAAATCAATCAAACCTGGGAATTTACCATCTGCCCTTTCCCCCATTGTCTCCAGTCCTCAATCCCATTGAGCACACGTGGGATGCGTTGCAGAGAAGGTTTTACAATTATTACTGACCTGCAACAACTGAGTTCAGCGTTGCAACATCTATGG